ACAAGGGAGCATCGTACCGTATTTCAAGACGGTAAGAAACTCTTACTCAGACTTGCGGCATTGCGGCCTCTCATTTGAAGCGTCGACTTCTAAGTTCGACTCCAAAATGTCTCATTGGGTCTAGCTTCGGGCGCTCCTGGGCCGGCCCGGCCACTTAGGTTGTTTACAAAAGCCCAGCAAACCAGGTAACAATGGAAAATTCCAAGACGTTGGGCACCAAAACGGACGCTAGTGCTCAGAGCTTTGGGCTTTATTTCTGCATCAGCCGAGAACCACTAACACTAATGGCTGTCTTCCTATTGACCAGTCTGCTGGGTCGTGGGGTAAGAACGTATCGACGTACCCTCCCAAGTCCCTATGGTTGACGGGATTGGAAGGCCACGGGCAGCTGCCCATGGCCCTGTTCATCTTCAACGAATAGCTCGTGGCAGTCTTTATTTCACAAGGCAACAACCAGAGGAGACAACACAATATGAAACGCGAGCAGCGCGTCCGACACCGCGTCTTCTGCCCCGTCTTCAGGGACTGCTATTCTTTTTTAGTTCTAGCAAGGAACACTGAGCCGTCCTAAAATGTGGAAAACTAATACACGCCATGGCATAATGGAGTCGCCTCACAATAGGTATCTCGACTGGCTTCATCCTGGCGCGTGCTTGTCCACTCTCTGGAAATTGACGATTTTCAGGGAAACCATTCTGATTGACCCCTCCCTGGTTGTTCTCGACAAGCGGAAGTAGCAACACGCGGTAAAAGAGCAGGTCTCGGCTTACTTCAGCACGGCGATTTTCCAATGAAGAAACCGAGCCGAGGAACACGGGACAGCTCTGGATAATAGATGCCCCAGGCAAGAGATTTCAGATAACGTATTTCAGGCTTTGAGACACCAGTTCTCGGAGCTTAAGTCCTAACGAGTGTCGTTTGCAGACCATCCCACACAATCACCACAAATCCCGTTCTTGACTGCAAGAACACCATCGATATCACGTCTCAAGCCTCTGTTGTCGTCCGATTCACCTGCGGAATCTCCAATAGCTCATCAGCCAAGAGATGCCTCTCTTGATCATGCACTGAGACTTCGATGCTTCCGTCACTGTGGGTGGCTGGGGAAGACGGCTGCGACTCAGCTCCCACACGCTCCAACTGCACGCCCTCTACGACGACCCTAATTCTAACCACTAGGCTCATACGCCTGATATCATGGATCCACTGTGCTTCGCGGTCGCATAATGGGCCGCTCGTGGTGCTTCTCTTTTGAGCACTTTGTTTTGTCGGTGTGTTACGCGTGCGCGTCCTCTCCCTAGCCGACCAGGAAAATGTTAGGCTCCTTGCTTTTCTATCCCCTGCTGACTTGCTCTTTGACAGATACCAGATGGCCTAGCGTCATGGCTTCGACTGATCTATGGTCCAAACACCTCGTGCGTGGTATGCACCTAGGTCCATGCTTCAAATCCCAGGACCCTCCTCGCGTAACGGAAAACATCACCACACACTGAACACCAGAACGAAAGACTATCTACCAGGAATGCTTCCTGAATCTCGATGGCTGCATCATGAACACAGGCTTGTGTTTTGTGCTGATGAAAAAGGCATGCAAATGTCATTTCAAGTCCCATCCGCTTGTACAAGTACAATCTTATCACTTGGAGTGCGAGCATTTTTGCTGCTACCATGGATCTCCGGATCTTTTTCCGGGAGGGTCAAGTTGGGTAAACAGCCAGCGCTTTTCAAAACTGCCCAATCTGTCTCGACATCCAATCGTTTAAATAGGGCGAGCGGTTTTGGGGCTTCATTCGCCCAGAAGGCAGGCCTGCGCTTCGTGCATGCAGTTTAGCCAGTTCTGGTCGTCCATAACCCAAGTGGGCTATGTAGCGTATCCTTGACGATTCAGAACTTTGAACCCCATGCATGGCTACAGAGATGTACGTTTTGGTCATACCGAGAGCCTCATCACATTTTGAGACAAACGGTCTCAATGAGACAGGGTCAGTTACGACTCTGAATGGCCTCCTCATAGCAGCATCAGTGGCATTGCTCACCAATGCCGATGTGAATCCGATATGAAGGCCGCCCGAAGTCGCTGCCCAACTGCCTCAGCATATCCCATTGGTGAGCATAGGGATACCGCCATTATGACTCGAAGAGAGGCTGCGATTTTCGGACACTCACTCTAGCCCCCACGACAACGCAGAACCTCTCTAATTCAGTCATTTCGGTTTCAGAGGCACATGCTTTTCGGTTCCCCTGATCTACCGCAATATTGATTCCGATACTGGATCATATTCGCTCTGTATCCGGTATGAAAGACAACCGGGAGATATCCTGGGTATCATTCGTGACGCAGTCCTCCATATGACACTCTTTCTAGAACCGGAACAACATTGCAGGTCTTGCTAGTGCTAGACTCCAATCTTTGATATCGCGTTGTCCTTTGCGCCTCCCTCCATTTCATCTTCACATATCATCATCCAGGGTTCATTCTGACCGAGGGTGGCCCGGTTGCGCTGATAACTTTACTGCGGCCTAGAGTTACTTTGCACACTCAAAGAATACCAGCGCGCAGCAGAAGAGCTTGGAACAATAACTGGCTACCTCTCTTTCAGTTAACAAGTGGCGTAAGGTATCTACCGAACATGCGGTCTGGATCCCTGTCCGAGTTTTGGGTCCACGTTCATCGCACGCGAAGAGATTTCCAGCATAACGATCCACCGTTCTGGATTTTGCTGTTTCTGGGCAAGGATTCCAGGCTCTTGACAGCGTCAGCCTCGACGAGTATCATGTCATATCACGAGGCTGCGGCTGGGATTCCAGGAGAAAGAGGTGCCCTGTGTCCATAACCCCCTCGCCTTAGTATTCGATATCTGAAACACTCACGGACATCAGCATGATGAAATTGTCCACACCACAATCTCACCTAAGGGATTAAAAGTTGGCACATGCGGCATTCCAGGATAAAGATTCGCCGACAATAGAACTTGGTAACCCAGAAATGTTAACGTGGGACAGGTATGTCGCAGCCGACAAGCTGCAATGACGCTCACAACATCTTGGAACAAGGAATCTCACGTTGCCTTCTGGAGGACGAAACAGACCGAGTTGTCTTTATATGGACTAGTCTTGTTTTGCAAGTGCAATTTGGACCCCAATCAAGTGTATTTTGCGAAGCTGGGGTATCATTTGCATGTCAACATACCGAATACTTTGAAGTGCAGGCATTGATAGCAAATGGTCTCCAAGCTATCCATGGAACCTTCTTCTCGAACACGGCAGTATGTCTTAGTCAAGCATGGAAGCCAAATTCGTAAAACTACGATCCATGATATCATCCACTTTGCTGTTTTAGATAAAGTCATACATCTTGTATAGCAATTGTTAACTACTTTTAGCGCCTGACACTGGGGTCGACCAGTAGATCACCATCGCTATCAGGCGTTATTCAAGTACTGTCAAGAGTACTTGATAGCTGTGCCTTCTGGGTAGCATCACGAACATCACGTCGGACATTCTGCCCAGTCAGCTAACCAAGATCTGATATCTTGAGCATCGTCAAGCGCATGAAGACAAAGAAATACCAGGACTTGAGCTTAAGTGTACTTGACCTTGGCTCCAGATACGCAATGGAACAATCGTTTCTTTTCCTATCCAGAGAAGGGCGATGCTTTTTGCTGCGTCCCGACACGGCCCTGACAGCTGAGAAAGGACCTGTCAGCCACTCGATCTCATGAGCGGATATGTTTCTGAAACAAGTGGCTTAGACAAAAGGCCGAGCTTATAAGGTTTTGACAGAAGGAAGCGGGGATACCCGGGCAGCGGGACATGACGGGTTGAAACGGATGACAGTTCTGATACCCAACAGTTTTCCTCGATAGCATCTGGAATACGCGGTTACGGAAATCAATGGACAACACCGGAGTCATTCGGGCAAAAGGGATATCGGATCCAAAACGCATAAATAGACTACGCCACCAGGACCTCAAATACACTATTAGCCTTCGCAATGCTCCGTGTTTAACATAACTAGCCGGTAATACATCTCGATCTTTTTCTTCATACGAAGCTGGTGGTACATATGGCTTAGAGGAGTTGGTGGTGATGCATTCAGGCCCGCGGTATCGAGAACTTCTGGTGTAGATATCCCATCCACAAGCACAGCACCACGCCGCCATCACGAACCAGAGTCACATCCATGGTTCAGCCCTTAGCTGAACCTGTCTGATGCTAGGTTCTGACGAGTGCATTGCGAAAGCAGCCTGACCGTACCTAACAATGGGCTCGCGGTGTCATTGTGTCGTGAACATCGTTACACTGGTAACTGGTGCCTTGAACACACATCACCCTTGTTGGTGGCTTTTCAAATTATCGTCAGCCATATCGTCTGCGGGCGTTCTGCGCCTTGTCATTAGTTTCGTTTCCACGAATCGCTATTGTTACCACGGGGCCTTGTGCTTCGCCATTGGCGATAGGTTCTGATATTACACTATTGAGAACGGATTTATGTATCTCTGCCTGTCAAGAAAATGGCTCCCAGTCAATATATGTACCCCTATCATCAGATAATTGTGCCTTGGTCCCCCAAGGACCTCCACAGTCTGGGACGGCCTGCGTCACTCGAAATCGTCGCCTCTTGCAAGCACCCATATCAGCTCTGTCCACCAGTCACACAACAAGAGATCTCGTAACTGACTAGCAAATCCGCTTCGGTAGATGCTCCTATCACAAGAGCAACAATAGCACAATGTGTGTCATGGTTCAGATGCTGATGCTCGCACACGATTCGCTCAGTGTATCAAACTCCTCTGTTGTGGTCTCGGAGAATGCAGATATAATACGGATAGGGATGCGTTTGCTCAACACACTAAGTCGTGTGCATTTGCGTCTATTCTTGTTTTCGAGACTGGATCCGAAGCAGTGAGATAGAAAAGCCTATTAGCAGCTGCTTAGCTTGTTCCTTTTTTATTATAGAACAAGAATGAGACTCGGCATTCAGTCGAACATCTTACGATATGAAGTTGACGAACTTCCCTATACTCATTCCTGCCTTCACAGCTCAAGTATGTTGGGACTGTAGTTTTCTTGGCGTTTTGTATACCTATATCACTGTGGCTTTGTCTCCAGCCTAGAGCCTGTGCCTTCGAACCCTACAAGCACCGTGTTTCTCTACCCAGCGATTTACTCCCATTCAGAATGGATTCACGCATCACTAATTCTTTGGATGATAGATCGCCATAAATGATCCTCTTGTCATCACCTCTAACCTCCTCAACATCCCGTTTCTCCCCAAGGCGGGTACTCTCGTCTCTGAGCCGGGATATGAGCTTCCTCTAGAGGCGACGTTCATCCATGGCAGCGACTTTATTCGGCGTGATCCTGATGGTCAATGGGTCAAGCTTGAAGTAACAAGTGTTGCGCGTGATACTTCTGGCTCTCTGTTGCGTTTTAGCTACAATGGAGTCGTCAACATGGCGGGAGATGAGGGGAAAGTGATTCGAGGAGATACGAATGCCACGACGACTGGTTTTGGAAATGCATGTGAGTGACTGGATTCCATAACATGGTTGTCGACCTGATGCTGAGCCGCCATCCTGCCCACATTGTTTTGAGCTGTTGTGGGACAACTCTGGACTTGATACTGACGACGTCAGTTGTGCAGATTAGGTTCGAGACTGATGCTCCGGGGTTGAAACTTCTGCAGGACAAGTTGTATGTTGGCTCGGGCAGGTTCGTTATCGAGGAAGATCGACCAGTCATTGTGGAATACAAAATCAGCGAGGTAAGCGCGCAGTGCAACAAGGGATCGAAGAATGACTGAGAGGCATGACGGGATGAGATACCGGTTAGCCTGGGTATGGATCGAGTAATCTGAGAGCAGGAATCTATCATTTGACAGGATGGGCCACGTTCGTGATTTTCTACACTACGTTGTTTCAGTTTTCGAAATCTATTTGTGTTTGGGGACCTAGAAACAAGCCTCACATCGATAGGTCAAAGTTCCTAGTTCGTATGTCTACCACCAGCCATGTGTCCCCCCTACATAGTCAAGCTCCCCTTCCAAGCTCTAAGTCGTGGCCCCCAAACTCCAACCTGCAGCTCTTTTGCTACTGCAAGAATATGCTTTATCATGCGGTCCCATTGAAGCTGCCTAGTTTATCAACCTTCCGACTCCAGGCTGGATACAGGCCCTCCAGATTGTGTACATGGGAGTCGATCCACAGGATCAATACCCCATCTTCTCCGCCTTTCGTGTTACGCTACACCGGTACTAGTCCATGCTTATTGGGGGACATTGGAAAGCTGCAGAAGACGCTCGCCGGCGCGGATGTTGGCATACTCATATGCCTTGGACTCGGGAGGGAAAGTTCCGTTGGCGGCCCAAAGATCGATCAGAGGCTGCATGGGCTCCAGCTCAGCGGGCTTGAGCATATCCAGAGCCGTAGCCGTCAGGACGAAGTGTGAGAAACAGCTGTTGAGCTGCTTCTCCAGGTTGAGATGGTAGAACGGCTCGGTGAAATGAGCCCAGTAGAGGTGAGCATAGACTCGGAACATTTGTCGGAAAATCATCTGGCAGATATCGACGAACTTATCAGGGAATCCTGATCGCTTTCCGATGTACTCGGGCTCGCCAGGGTTCGAGAGTTGGGACAAAGGTGTGGTGGTGATGGCGGGGTTGTGGGCGTACGAGACACCAGAAGGGTCAGTTGGGAAGATGTTGGTGTCGTCGATTTTACCAGAAATCCATCGCTGCATAAGAGTCATGTACTCATAGGCGGGAAGCTCAACAGGCTCCCTGTTACGGTTGAGCCAAGTAAAGGAGTGGTTACTAGCGAGCATAAGTGAATGCATGGTCTGATGAGAGTGTTGATCACCTACGCTCCAGCAGACATGCGTGGGCAGCTGGTAGAGTTGCAGATGGATGTACCATCATCCTCCTTTTCGTGGAGAACTCTAACAAAATTCCACAGGTTGCGATAATGCTCAACAACTGAACGGCGTTAGGACCCGTAAGAATTCGTTGTGATATCAAAGTTATCTTACCCTGGTGTGCAATCCACTCGCCTTGCTCGACCGTCTTGGGTCGGGCACTCAGTGTCATGAAATTACCCTTTACTATGTGCTTAGCATATTGGGCATTGAGCCACAGAGGGAGAGGTCGAGGAAGATGATAGGAAGAGATTAGTTCGTCACCGCTCATGACGCCGCTGGAGTCATCCATGCCAATGGTCTGGGCGAGTGAAGGAGAGTTAGGCAGAGGGGGGACCTTGGGAGCTAGACTAGTTGAGGAAGACTGGCTCCCTTGAGTAGGCAGCTCTGGCGGGGGAGGCTGGCTGGCAGTAGAACCAGTTGGGCTCTTTTGAGGGCCAGAAGAAGGCTTAGCTGAGCCACCTCGGAACCGAGCGTTACTGGTGATGTTATGTTAGCAAATGTAGTGAGGTAGATGCTATCGAAATAGGACCAAGTTGAGTAAGGAAAAAGTCACTTCAAGTGAGTACAGGTACAGGTAAGGTAAGGTAGGCGAGCACCTATCCATGGATGTGACAGCACACTATGCTTGAAATGGCACACATGGTTGAAACACTGGCAGATCCGCCCATGGCAGCCGCAGAAAAGCGCCATGCGTGGCGCCCTTGCAAGGGAGAGGAATGATGATAGGAAAGGATGATATATGAGTGAGGAACTATCCATGAAGTCCAATAGGCACTGCCAGAGAATGCCCATCATGGCGAGTTTTTAAGAGTGATCAGTTTCTCGTAAGGTATCCTAAAGCAACGTCTTCAGAGGCTCCAAGATATGAATGCTTTCAGCTCATGAACCTTTGGGGCATGTCTTGAACAAAGTACTAGTGTACCAGGGGACCACATGATGAGAGAGTCTGATTGTGTACAGTAGGTCTTCAGTCTCTCGGTAGTTGTCCTGTACTGCGACAAGGAGTGCGCAAGGGTATTGGCTCCAGGTTTGAGTGTATCCGAAATGAAGATTTTGCAATGTTGCACTCGCATAGGAGTAGAGGGTCGTGGCTGGTGGATATAGATATTTTACCTGTACAAGAGGCGGCGGCTCTTTTAGGATTCATGATGAAGACATGACAACAACAGTGGCAGGGTCCAGAGACAAGCCACACAGAAGCGATGCTGACAATAAGGGCCCAATGACGAGAAAAGACAAATTGAGATGATACTGATGAAGAATGAAGATATATACTCACATGCCAGAAAAGAGGTTCGACATGGTTGACAGAAAGGCGGGGTGAAATCGTGAGCAAAGGCGCCTGAGAAGGATTCCACGAGGACTTCCCAAATAGAGGGAGAACGCGCTCGAGTCGGTATTAGGGTGTATTCGGTGGCTTGAGCGGTCGTTGGTATTGTCTTCCGCCTGACTGAGACTGCGTGTTGTTGTCAGGATCAATATCAGATCAAATCCGATATCAGCAACTGGAGTCGGTTTGAGAAAGGGGGTTTTTGAGGTGTCGGTGTCGGGGCTTGGGCTTCCCAGGCTCCATTGATGAATAGCGGCTAAGTACCCCGTAACTTTAGCGGATGAGCGCCACAACGGGGCATCACGCTAGTGCATCGCACCCATCGCATCCCGTCTCCAGAAGCCTCCCTACTCGTCTCACGCGACTGGCTCTGTTTGTCACCTGAAGCGCGCCATGCCTGTTTCAGAGCATTCGAAGGGATCATCTTGACACTCCTGCCATTTCTCTGCCACACTCTTCCTCCTCTCAAACCTCCTGACGCTGCAGCACACTCGTTTCTTCGTTCTCGTCTCCACTAACTTGAGGCAGAGGAATTTTAGGTAGGTTGTCATCTGTTTATGTGTGGCACATGTTGTGGCTGTGAATTTCGACAAAACGGATGTTGCAGTGGCTGGTGCACCTACCTCCCAACCTCAGGCCTACCTAGAGCCACAATCAGCTAGGTAAACGGATCCACGGTCGCTAGAAAGTAAAGCGCGACTGCAAGCTCACTTTGCGCGCAAACCAACCGCTTCTTTCACTGTTTTCTTCCATTGTCTAGTTCACTCTCCTTCACCGCAAAGAACCTACAACATGTCCGACATAGAAGACCCAATTGACTCAGTCGACGAAGGCGGCGACGACCTCTTCGGTGACGATGGCGACGATGATGTCGTACCTACCAAGGAGCCTGTCCATGAGGATGATGAACTTGCTTCAGATCCAGAAGGAGACAGCTACGCGCGGTATCGCAACGATGACGACGACCAGACCCAGGTCCAGACAAAAGAACGAGCGATTCAAAATGTCGAAACCTATCGACATCGAATTCCGAAGCCTAAAGATGGCGCGGTATGCATGTTTACTTACTCTGAGAAGCCCCTTGGCGCTGACTTTGACGGTATAGCTTCGGATTCTACGCATCCCCAAGTTCATGAAGATAATGCCTGAAGTGTACGATCCCGAGACGTTTGAACCGACAGAATTCGACCTGGCAAATGCTAAAGCTGAACATCCTAAACATGTCGCTCGAGTACGAAAAGATCACAGCACCGGCGAATTCAAGAGTAACACAAACATCTTTCACTGGAGCGACGGATCAGTGACCATTTCCGTTGGCGGAGAGCACTATGAGATCCAGAGAAAGGCGCTCGCCCCACCACCAGACAAGCCCTACAACGAGGTCAATGACGGTCACTACTACGCTGCTGCCGCTGAGTTGCACAGCAACATCCTCATGACGGTTGGGCATATCACAGAGCAATACAATGTTCGACCCAACAAAGCTGTTGGAGACGACGCGCTGACTCTCCTAGCGGAGAGGATGGCTGTCGCCAGTAAGCCTGCGAATGCAACTGACATGATCATCCAAACTACTGTCGACCCCGAACTCCAGAAGAAGCAGGCCGAATTGGCTGAGAAGGAAAGAATGAAGGCACAGAGGCGACGCGAGAACGCTGCTGCCAAGATGGATGGTGGGTATGGCCGATCACGAGGAGGACTGTCCATTGGGGACCTTGAAGGTGGCCGTCGAGGCGCGGCAGGCTCTCGCAAGCGCGGCGCACCTGGGTCGGGCAAACCTAGAAGACGGAGAGATGAGGAATCAGACGAGGAGCTTGAGCATGCTGTTGGTCGGCATGAAGGCTACTCGCTCGACGATGGCTTCATCGTCAATAGTGACGACGAGGAAGTAGAAAGCGGAGGTGACGATGACGACGAAGATGATTTCCCCGATGACGACGAAGAGGAGAAGCCACGCTCCAAACGTCAGAGGACAAGAGATCGCAGTGAGGACGAGGATGATCTCAGCGAAGTCGAACAAGTGGCAGGAAGATCCCGCAGGAGAAATGTCATCGACGATGACGACGACTAAAATGGACATCTTTGGAGCTTCAAAGAAAATGAGATGGGTATCTGCATGGTGTGCAAAGGAGGCCATTGCTGCATAATATGATTATATCAAACTGTCTCCAAGACAGAGTATCGCAGAAACTGGTTATTTTTGTATTATATCTTAGACTTTTGGAGGCAATAACAGCAAAGCCACATCTTCACTGAATCCCTTGCGTGAATCCTTGACCAATACAACAAGTCGCGATATACCAAATAAACCACTTTGTCACAAAAAGAATTGTTCGCGCGACACTGATGATGAATAGGTACTAGTTAGCCATACAAGTATGTGCATGTGAGCGTGGCTCAATCTCCGAGATTCCATGTCTCGAAACTGGTGATCTCATTGGCAATCACATGCCGATTTAGCGTCAAGCATTGCCTTACCTTGCTGGAATACTTTGTTGAACAGCTGCGGGGAGCTCTACGAAACTCAACCCCAACCTACCTACCTTATCTTGCATGTCCTATAAAATAATATCTCGATCTTCTGATCCACGAACCCAAACATCCTAAGAAGCCCCCCCAGTCTCCAGCGTTTATGACTTATTCCCAAGGTACATTGGGTGCGTGCCGTCTCGTCGCTAAACGCTCGCAAAACAAGACACTTCGCAAATGGTGCTTGTGCTTGTGATCGGCCCTCGGTAACGCGCAATGGGGGTGGTAATCACCGTATGGGGTGTCGTCGTGGATGTGGCCAGCTTCTGGCAGAGGGTAAACTCTCTGTTCCTCCTATCCGTGATACGCGACGTTTGTCGTTCCTAACTATGTCGTTGCAGAAGCTGCGGAGCTGGTACGCGCGCAAAAGCCCCGTTGAGCTATGGCTGGATCTATTGAGAACCGCCGAGGCCTTTGAGGACTGGGAGGAGGCCGCGCTACACCTGGATAACCTCCTGGGCCTTGATCTGTGGCAAGTCTGCTCACAAAATGTCATGTCTGCCTACTTTAGATGCGGTACGCTAACAAGTTTACAGGAGGAACAATCCAGCTTCTAAGTATTACGACTGGAGACTCATTGCAGAACGCCTAGACTCTCTCGCGACCGCGCGGGAAGACGGAAACTTTCAGCAGCTCGTCAACCTGTTGAGATCCGGCCTTGTTCGAAACCTCGGGAACATCACCTCACCCAAACTCTACAATCGATCATTTGCCGGAACCAAGTATCTTATAGAAGAGTACATCACCCAGATTGCCGAGGCAGTGGAGGATATTCGCGCCCTGCCTACAACTCCGTCGGCTACACATGGCACGGGGCCATCCTTGACGACGCAGATGAAATTGGACTGTATCCACGATACAAGACAGGCTTTCGGGAGGAGTACACTCGTCCTTCAAGGCGGTGCGATATTTGGTATGTGCCATTTGGGCGTTGTCAAGGCTCTCTTTCTGCGTGGTTTACTCCCGCGCATCATTACGGGAACGGCTACAGGCGCCTTGATCGCGGCTCTGGTCGCTATTCATACTGAAGATGAGCTACCGGCTGTTCTGAGTGGCGATGGTATTGACCTCTCGGCATTTGCTTCCAAGCATGGTCATGAGAACGGGGAGGCCTCAACGGCTCAGGCCTTCAGGTCACGGTGGGAAACTCTGTTGCGGAGGATCAGGCGTTTCTCCAAAGAAGGGTACTTTCTTGACGTGACTGTTTTGGAGGAGTGTGTGAGGGCCAATGTTGGTGATTTGACCTTCGAGGAGGCCTATAACCGGAGCAAGAGGGTGCTGAACATAACTGTTGCGACGGAGGGCCAGGGGGGTGTACCGACGCTCCTCAACTATCTGACCGCGCCTAATGTGGTATGTTCTTGAAACATTGACTTTTCGTGAAGCCTGCTGACTCGTCGTCTTAGTTGATCTGGACGGCTGCTGTAGCGTCGAATGCCTCATCGCCCTCTCTCTATGGCCACAGCAAGACGACTATGCTCTGCAAGGACGCCCACGGCAACATTGTACCGTGGGCGCCAGCTAACACAATTGACTTTCGACATTGGACTCACACATCCTACTCCGATCGAGACTCGCCTTTACGACGTATTGCTGAGTTATTCAACGTCAATCATTTCATTGTCAGCCAAGCTCGACCGTATCTCATTCCCTTTATTCAGTCTGATATGCATGGTCCATCTTTAGTAGAGTCGCGGAGCAAGACGACACAGATATCTGCCTTTCTCGTACGCATGGTCGGGCTGGAGATAAGGCACCGCCTAAGTCAGTTGGACACACTAAATCTCCTGCCAACCGGTATCCGCCGCTTCCTGGTCGATGAACAAGTCCCGGCTGCCTCTATGGTTCTCGTGCCTGAAGTGACAGCAGGGGACTTTGTGCGATTACTAGAAACTCCGACACGAGAGACCCTCAACTACTGGGTTCTCAGAGGCGAGAGGAGCGTGTGGCCTGCCGTAGCCGCCCTAAGAATCAGGTGTGCTGTTGAGAATGAGCTCGATAGGTCATATCAGGTGGTCAGGAAGTTTAAAGCCCCCGGCTTACGACGAAAGGGGAGCATGGCCGCTACGCTGGAGGGTTAGAGAAGAGAACGTAATGTATAGTTTGGCTCAGCCGTTACGGATATTAGCGCGACTTGAACACTTCATCCAAAGTTGTTGGGACAATGGTAATGTAACATGTGCAAATGCTAGCCCTTCTTATTGATACCGCTCAGAAACAGCAGAGGGATCCTTAAATTGGCACAGAAGCATATCTACCTACTCAGGAATCGTTGCCTGCGTTTTTGCTCACGCGAAGAGCCTGCTGTGTCTAGGAACTGTCTTGTCTTTACCTATGATAACAATTTCCATCTTTCTTCTTGTTCTATCCCGCATTCGTTTTCCAGAATTGATCACCATTGCTCCATATTCGACAGGTCTCAAGGCAAGCATCAACAGGAAGCAGTCACAAGAAGTGTGCCTCATGATCACACAAGTCATACAAGTTGGCCTTCAGCGATCATGGCGAATTAATATATTCCATGCAACTCGCAATTGGCAGGATGCAACCTGATTTCGTGACTGTACAGCATTCCTCTTGAACACTCGCCAGTACGTAGAATAGAGCCCAGATCTACGTTCAGGCAGTCTCCCTTTATAGCGCCAACGAAGTACAATAAAAAGACGATTTTCTGAGCACGAATATGAATAGGAGCGGGGAATGGCAACTCAGATAGTAATACCTCGAAGTTGGCAAAACACTTCAATCAGTAGTACAGTGGCTTAGACTCTCAAACTTACGTCTATTGGAGGTCTATCAATATTTCAATATCCAGACTATCGGGCATGGCGAGATAACGAGTTTCAGACTTATGCTATACAGTTCAGAGACACTGGTGTTTTTAAGCTGTGGGCTTGATGGCACCAACGAAGAGCCACCTGCCTCCGAATACTCGAAACAGGGCGAAATCGCAGGAATATTGTGTGCGTGTGTGTGTGAGAGAGAGAGAGAGAGAGCCTCCAAGTACATTCTATATCAGCCAATCATCTTACATACTAGTCATGCCAGGGAAACAAGTATCACACCCAGACTTTGATGTGACCAATGCACAAGTTACTAGTTAAACAAGAGAGACTTAGGGAACTCGAAAAACAGTGGTATTTTGATTATTAGCATAATCGGGGTAGAAACCTGTGCTACTGCCAGCCACACTGGGCTCTAGACATATCTATCTCTGCATGGTCATACAGTCAGATATAATAAAAGGAGCAAACTCCCCTTTCCCCAAAATAGACCTCCTAGACCTCCTCTCTCTAGCAGGGCGTCAAAAGAGAATGAGGCGGTTGCCTTTGATAGGTAAGCAGTACTTCATGTCTAATGCAAAAGGGGTTAGAGGAGGCTCTGTCATGCAGCAATGACACCACTTTCAAGAGATGACGATACCAAAGATACATAGATTTTAGTATATGGCACTATGCAAATAACACTTGTTCTCCACGTACCGTATTCTTGAGGCTGTTCTGATCGAGACCGCGTCAGAAGTGCACCAAGCAAGGGGCATTGCCAACGCATCATTCATGGCGTTCGGTACGATTGACGAATGGAAAAGGCTGGATCATAGGCTTATGCAGTCAATGGTTTATGGTGTTGGCTAAGGGGTTCATGAGCTCAAAAGCTCTGGCCTCACCCACCTCCTCGGGTCAGTATTTTGTTTCCAGAACATTTCACAGCGAGACAACCAACTCATCGAAACACATACAGTCAACGCTTGTGCTGCCCGGCGCTTCGCCCTGGGCGACTACGCGCTGACATTCGTAGCTAAGCAAGCATTACTGAGTATCACGACGTCTATCTTGTCGCTTGATTTGGAACAACATTCCACCACATCTGACGTATACCTGAGAGAGGTCCCTCAACTGGTTTCTTGGGCTCATCAACATGGCCAGCATGACTATTTCTGATATGCATGAAAACAACTCGGATTCTTCCATGTCCCTCTCGTCGTCCATACTTGCTGAAGACCGCAGTTCTTCAATCTTCGACTATTACGGCCAAGTCATGGACATGGATGATTATCAACATTCTTCTCCCCCCACCATAGATATGTCTACATCCATGGTTCTCGAGCGCACCGCGGCAATCAGAACATCCCCTTCTGAAGCCGACGACTTCTCGATGAGCGGCTGGACCACTGTCGGCACATACTCCGCCGCCTCCGAAACCACATGCCCCGCTCCGGCGTCCGTGTCCGTGTCCGTGTCCGTGTCCGTCGCCGATCTCACGGCGTCCGAGCTGCTCCGCCTGGAACTCCAGGATACCCGGCCTTCAGGCTCGCTTGCCAGTCCCGGCTCGCACGTGGTGCGCGACCGTGCTTGTGAAATGTCCGTCGGTAGCGATAGCTTATTCAGCTACAGCTACACCTTTGTCCAAGATGATCAAGGACTCTGCGGAATCGGAGCGTGGGCTGATATTACGACAAGTTCTTTCGTCGCCAAGAAGAGGCGAATCACTCCGCGACAATGATAATTTCAGCGGGAGAAAAATTTCATTTTTGAGTTTGAAAAACCAAGGAATGTCTTGGGGCATGGATTCCTTGTCTGTTTCCGGCCGGCAGTTTGTCTATCGTCTTTTGGGCTGCCACGCGCCGAACGGTTCCGCGTTTCATGTACAGTATCTACAGTATCTTTTGATTTTGCTTTTCATCTGAACTCATGCACGATGATGGCATCTGTTGTCTATGCTCTTACGAAATTCTCCACTCGTGCTTTTGTTGCATCAGTTGTTACTTTGTTGTGCAAAAACCCTCAGCAGTAACTAGCTACTTAGTATGTTTCAAGATGGGATCAATGAAAGAAAAGACAGGACCGCCACAGCCACAAACACACACACAACAGGAATGCTCGCTGACGCAAGGGGCGTGCAATCAGATCATCCAAGTCAGACTAGCTAGATCGGTTACATCGAAAAGAATCCATTACTTTTGACTGGAAACTTGGTCATGATCTCCACGGTTAAACTGTGAAATGTAACACAAGCCCTCCACAACTTGCAAGGACACGATCGTCATTGAGCAATTCGAGCCATGCGATGTTTGCTGCATTAGGCGTACTCCGCGCTCTGTCTCGCGCAGCATTCCAGTTCTTGGATGGCCCTGTACATGTCATTTAATTACCGGTGTGCGACGAATTTCGGGCAAATACTGGAAACTGCTGTGCATTGTGGAAAAAAAATACCCACTATGGGTAACCATTTTGTATCAACATAACGAAGCATATCTCGGCATCGAACGGAAGGTCAGATTGGAACCATAAAAGTGCGGCAATTCTTTGATGATGTCCAGGCTGTAATCGAAGACGGACGCATCAAAGAGAGGCGGAGATTGTAGAATGTCCACTGATATCATGCGCCGTTATAGCAGGGTGCCCCTGGCAATGTTGCATACCCGTCGGTCCAGGGATTGATTTGGCATTCGTCCCGTTGAATTGTTACTTTGAAACAGCAATTGGGCCGCAGGAAGGGATGGCAGATCAGGCCGGGAACCTGCATGTAAGTAAGGATGTTGGAGGTGTGGAGAGAGTAACTAACACAAGACAAAAGGGAAATTCGGACGACGGAACTCGGAGCCAGGGCAAAGACATACCGTAAACGTTGTTTGTTCTCCACATAGGACAATAGGTTCGCCAGGACAGAAGCTTTGAGCATAGGTAGAACAGAGGCTTCTTGGATGGTGACAGCTTAATTGGAAACATGCTGAATGAAGCACTGTTTTTGCTTCTAATCCCACAACCAATGACATGAGAGGTATTATGACCTACAGATATTTTCACAAGAGACCACTCACATCACAGCAAGATCAAACAATTGTTTAAAAGCAGACCAATATCGAGTCTAATTGATTTCTAAATACCAGGCTTTCTTCCTCCCAGACAAGCTAAAGCAGGGTTCATCGGTGGATATAGCCGGCCGCGACGCCTCATGGGGTAACCGGAAAAGAATAAAACAAAGGCCATCATTAAAGTAGAATTATACACCCGAAACTGGAGTCTCATCAAACCGCTCTTTCTTCATCCCATTTATGCGCATAAAACATTATGTCCATAACTTAGTTGAGGTAAACCATGGCCATAACGGCACCGGCAATAAGAGCCAGCGAGGATGTCATGCGAGCAGCACCGCTCTCAGGGACACTGGGGACGCTGGTCTCGCCGCCGGCGCTGCCAGTCTTGGAGGGAGTGGGGTGAGCAGCAGTGGGAGTGGTAGCGTTCTTGGAAGGAGCATGAGTAGGAATGATGGGCTTAGCAACAGTGGTGGTCTCCTCAGCGGACTTGGTGACGCTGGCGAGGGTGGTGGCCTCCTTGGTGGAAACGGCAGTAGTGGTCTCAGCGGTAGCGGTAGCGGACTTGGTGACAGAGGGAGCGGCGTATGATCCCTTGTAGGGGAACTGAGCGCTGTAGTTGACCTCACCAGCCTTGTCGGTGATCTTGAAGTTGTAGGTGTCGGAGGGAAGCTCAGAGGGGGTGAAAGTGAAAGAGTCACCAGTGGCAGAGGCTATCGTTGGGTCAGCAAGATATAGCATATTCAATAATGGTGAGACATACTGGTCAGGGTCTTGTAGTCAGAGAGATCATCGGAGGGGCCGTTCTGGAGGATGATGGTGCAGCCATCGTCACAGCCAGAGTAGCGGATGGTGTAAGGCTTGCCCTCAGTGAGATCGAACTCGGTGTTGAGGAAAGCAGGCTTAGCCAGGGCCACGGAGGCGAGGGCAGCAATGGTAGCGAGAGTGTACTTCATTTTGAAGGTTGGTGGGGTTTGGTTTGAGGTTGAAAGAATGACTGAGTATTACTACCAGGCGGGTTAGTTCTTGATTCTGAAACTGATTCGATAACTCGTAAATAGTATCTAGACTATGAGCAAATGGCGTGTGTGATGACGATGATGTTGCTGCTGCAGTATTCAAGTTGGGTGCTCCAGGCTGAACGAAGAGAGTTGTGTAAACAAGCCACAGGCAGTGCGTGGGCTTGCCAGGCTGATTTGTTGTCACCAGCAGTTGACAGTGGCAGCTGGTGGCCAGCTTGTTTGACTTCCATCCATTACCGTCGCC